GACTTTCCTATACTCAGCACTTCATTAAGTCACTTTGGAGAAGTCACAAATTGTCGGTAATACTAGGTTGGAGAAATCGGTACTGTATCGGTATCCCAATCCCAAATACAGAAATCTCGAATATCGAATTACACTTGAAAATCAATCTCAATCCCTTAATAATTTCGGTATCCCAATCTCAATCACTAAATATTCCGGTATCCCAATCGTACTTCGGTATCACAATCAGTATTATCGAATACATAATTAATTACATTTGAAGTTAATATAAAATATATAAATTAGATTTGATTGTTTAATTTAGGACAAAGAGACTAAGCAAAGAGTATTGAGTTTGCCTAGAGTTAGGATATGGATAAGGAGAATGAAGGAGAGGTGACATCTCAAGTTCTTGTCATTGGTAATATTTAATTTGACGAATTGAAGGCTGAGAGATGACTATACTAGTGTTTATTTTTGGTGTTATGAAAATAACAAGTGATTAGGTGAGAGATGAGAGTGATTTAAATTGTAAAGTCAAAATTGAGTTGGATGGTGATTTCTGAGTTGTGAAACAAAGATGGAATGATCTATGTATAATTATAAATCACTTTTAGTGGTTGAGGGTCTTGTAGTAGGGAATGAGAGAGTCTAGTTGAGATGATAAAATACACACTAGCTTATATTTTGGTATTGATCGGTATTTCGGTATATACCGATCCCAATCTCGTAATTCCTAATACCGAATTACAATTGAAATTCAATCTCAATCCCAATCCTAAGAAATAATACGTGTATTCGGTAATCTACAAAATATATAAAGCCAAAACATGGGTTGGAATTCTCCCATTTCAAATTTCGTGGCTTGAGAGCGATTCTTGGAAGGTCATTTTTGTCATTGCACCCAGTTCCTGTTTATATATTTAAAATGTTATCATTGGAGTTCAAACATTGGTCACTTGAATGAACAAAGAACATTATAACCAACTAGACTATATTTTATTTACTGTTATTTCTTTGATTGAACTTTAGAAATATGTTTGGTGATGATGCTTCTATATTTATATTTTATCTTAAGTTGTTTATATTTTATATAAAGATATTAGTTCTGAAATTGGAACTCAAGTATTATTGATTCAAACATTAATATTAAATTGTATGTGTTGTTTAGTTCAGACAAAATACAGAAGTGTGACCAAAACATGGAACTTTGTGACGAGTATAATCATTTTTTATGACAAATTTACACATAATATAATGATAAAATTGGAAAATGAGAGTCTCATTTCAAATTCCGTGGCCTGAGAGTGATTCGAGGAAGCTCTTTTTCGTCATAGTGTCCAATTTATCATTATATTATGTGTAGATTTATGACAAAAATTACTATATTTGTCACAAAGATCTATGTTTTGGCTACACATATGTACTTTATCTAAACTGAACCACACATACAATTTATTATTTAATATTTGTATCAATGTCACTTGAGTTCCGATTTCACAATTAATGACTTTCTATAAGATATAATAATTTCAGGTAAAATACATTTCCTACTTGGTTGAAGAAACTTTTTCTATAAGATATATTCAATGTTTTAAAATTTTCTATTTCAAATTTCGTGTAGCGAGAGTGAAAGTAGGAAGAGTATTTTTGTCATGACAATTATTATCTACTTCATATGAAAAAAGTATCAATATCAAGATATGAACTATGGTCTCTTCAAACAAAAACAATAATCACAACCAATTAAACTAAAAAAATTTATTTTATCTTTTTAAATTGTAAACATGCACTAAGCGAAGATTTGAAAAGCAGAGGACTTTGCACGGTTAGCTAGCCTATTAAATCTTCTGAAAAGCAAAGTTTAATGTGTGATTTATAATTTATATAACCTATAAAATGACGGGTAATCTTAAAATTGCAACACACATTTCATTGCTTGAAATATTGCATATCGAACTGTAGTATTGAATATGCAAAAGCGATTTAGAATTCTTTAAATTAATATTAAATTTCAGAACTAATACGAAACAATAATATTTTGTACAAACTATAGGTGACTGGTTCTCTAAAATTTTATCCTGGTTAACTGGTAAACGTTAAACTCTTGCTAATCGGGCATGAATGGACCTGACAATAATGAGACGATATCGAGTTTAATGTGATGTTCATTTCGTCAGTTTTGGATCGGATGTGTTGATCAAGTTATAGGGCATTAACATATAAATGAGTTATAATTAACCTCATTATACAATTTCTACTCTTTATAATAATTAATTTAATCCTGATATTTGTGATGTTTGAAATATTTTATGTATGATTTAGATGTATAATTATTATTTGTGACATCAGTTGTAGTTTATTCAAATGTAGTATTTAATAAGGTAGTCAAAATCAAATATTGGGTGCATTTATGACTGTTTTTATCTTGGTGTTGTGAATAGGTAGAAACTTAATTATTATAATGCCTATAACTATACCTAGGCACATGATCGAGCTAGCACAACACAATTAGAGCATACCATGAAGACAATGTATATGGATCCACCATGTACAAGCATGAACGCTTGAAGGGCTCGCGCACAAGTACAAGCACCACACAGTCTATATTGGTGAACTCATGTTTATGGAGAAATGTGTCATTTGATAAAAATAAAATAAAATATTCTAAAAATAACATATAAAATTTGAATTAATGAGTAGTTTCTCACATCAACGTATGATGACTCATATTCTAAAAGGTTTAGAAAATAAATTCATTGTTTATTTTGAGACTCAAACCTTTTTCAATGTATACAACTAAAAATTCATTTACAAAATCATTCTTGATTAACTCTATAGCTGAAAAGTCTTTTTTGCAGCTTCCAGTAATAACAAACAACGTCAACAATAACTTAAGAAGCAAGTAAAGTGAAGAAGAAATTGGGGTTTAGTATTTCTTTGCAAATGTGGGGGGGATTATTTTGTCTAAATTTTTTCAGGAAGGGTTGAAACTCATATATAATTTGTTTGAATATTGAATATTTCATATTGAATTAGAGTATTGAACATTTTGAAAGCTATATGTAATTCTTAAATTTAAATTAATTTTTAGCCCGGTTAACCAATAGTCTTAGACCTTTTGCTAATTTGACATGGATCCAATAATGATGAGATGAAATTTAGATTGATATGGCATCGGTTCAAAACCATTTTTTATGTGTAATGAATTTGTACGACAAATACATATAAAGTGAAGATGAACCTGATTATGCATTTTGTTTCTTTAGATAAATACAACGGTTTAAGACATTAAGCGATGAACTAACTATACACTCACTCGATTGGTTTAACGAGTTCTCATTTTTATCACTTTTAATAATTAGTTCATTCACAAACTATCAACCTACTTTGCTCCGTCAATGAATAAGCGACAATTTATTTGCCAGGTTTCAGGTGCTCTGATTCACACTATCAACTGTGAATGGAGAAGAAGCATTTCAAACGTAAAATTGAAAAAGTAATTGATATATTTCTAGGTTTCTCTCGATTCCAGGCGGTGGGAAGAAAGAGGAAGGGAAAAGGGGGAGAGTTGTGAGATACAAAGCCGAGAGAGAGAGAGAAAGATGAAAGAACAAATGAAAAATAAAGAGGAAGGCAAAGAGAGAGTGAGAGGACACATTTAAAAGAGGAGGAAAATGAGGTAGTGTGAAATAATTATCCTTTTGTTTTAATTAGTGGATATTCTTGGCCCTATTTTGTTGACTTTTTATTTATTTAAGGAGATGCATTATATTTGACATATTTTTTTCCATTTTAATTTAAAATTCTAAATCAATATTATCATTTGGAATACTTTTCCTTAACACGATTATTGTACTTTCTTATATTTAATGGGTATTTGATATTGTCAATATTTTAGTGGTTTTTTTATTTATAGTTTGTATTGAAAGATTGTGCGTACCGGCGGTTAGACCATAAAACTTCACATAATAGGCTAAATCGATAGGTGATATTTAGAAATATGAAATGGTTGAAGCACAATTAAATTATGACTTCAGTATAAAATATTCCATACCAGCTTTTTCGATACGATTTTACAATCCTTTGGTTCAAACAATTCTTTTAGACTTGTGGAAACAAAAGTTTTAAGGCACATTTTGAACTATTTATTGCAATAAAGCATAAGTCAGTTAGCGATAATAAGAATATGTGATCTCATGCAACCCAAAAGACACTTTGCAACTTCTATCTTTTTAAAATAAATGTATGCTACTCATACCCTTGCTCATTTATCAACTTAATGAGTAACATATATTTCATGTAATATTATTTTCATACATTTTTATTTATTGAATTATTTCATGAAAAAAATATTTGTTGCATGAAAATTACTACATTGTTGCTAGACATGTCTACAATCTGAGAAAAATTTGGGAAGTCCGTACACAATACATTGTCCAACTAACTAATAGCGACAACTTAGCATCATGTCCTATATATTTCAAATCAAGCAACTTCAGATTCATTACCAACAGTGTACCGGTCAAAAAAAAAAAAACCAACAGTGTGGTAAAAAAGAATGCTCTCTATAGGGAAAAACTTTAAGGACATACTAAACTCTATGAGACAATTTCTTTCATCCTAAAGGTTTATTATTTATGTATTATGAGAAGCAACTCTAATATTAAACTATATGGTCTAATTAAGTAATGAATGGCAATTAGTTATATTTTTTTCATTCGGTAATTATATGTAATACTTATATTATATTTTTTCTCTTTTCATGGAGGTCTAAAAACATTATGCATAGTTGGATCACTTTCAAAAATGTTATGTGCTTAACTAAGATATAAAATAATCATTTCATGCATTTCAAGTTATCTATTATATCTCTTATTATATATCATATGTCTCCATAAAATTCTTCCGGCCAACAGGTCAGACCCTATGCTAGTAACAAATATAGACAAATTCGATATGATATTCGGTGTATCCCAAATACTAATATAAAACTTCCAGCCGCAGGTAGCATCATGCGTATTAGCGGGCCTGCAGCCTGCAGGTAACGAACCCTGGGCCCAAACAAAGCCTCATGAACTGTATTCCACGTGCTTAGTGGCTGCGCTGACACGCGTTGCTTTTTGATTGCGCAGTACATTACATCACGGATTGGTGACATGTAACTATACAGGCCGTAGAGCTGGGTTAATTAATCTAATCTGTTTATAGATCAGGAAATTCGACGCGGATCGCCAGCGTGGCGGGTAATTTATAAACGAACTCGTTCCCTAACCCAGCTCAGTTACTTTCCCCCATCAATCTCCCAAAAAAGCAAAAATCCCCCAAATCCGATTTAGCAGCCATTTCCGACCCATTTTCTCTCCATTTTCAAATTCCGCTTCCTTGATTCTTCTCCCTGCTCGTGATACACATCAATGGATTCCGTAACGAGGTCAGAAACTACGGCGGCGACACCGAAGGGCGCCGGCGGGAGACGAGGAGGAGGCAATCGGAAGAAGGCGGTTTCCAAATCGGCGAGGGCCGGGCTCCAGTTCCCCGTCGGCCGTGTTTTCCGGTTCCTGAAGAAAGGCCGTTACGCCCAGAGGTACGGCGCTGGATCTCCGATCTACCTCGCTGCCGTTCTCGAGTATCTCGCCGCTGAGGTAATTTTCTTCAGATCCGATTCTCTAGCTTTCCGTTCAATTATTCTCTTCTCCGAAGTAATCGAAACGTTTGGATCCATCTCGTCGTCTCTCTAGGCAGCAATCGCATTTTCGCGATTGTTTTTCCCTGCAAAATTTCCCCAGTTTTCTCGACAACCAAACAGGGGGGTTGAATTGGCTTGATTTTAATTTTGAACAGGTTCTGGAACTGGCTGGGAATGCAGCGAGGGACAACAAGAAGAACAGGATAAATCCGAGGCACCTTCTTTTGGCGGTGAGGAACGACGAGGAGCTGGGGAAGCTGCTGCAAGGAGTCACCATTGCTAGTGGAGGTGTTCTTCCCAACATCAATCCAGTCCTCCTGCCCAAGAAGAAGATCTCCGAAAGTTCCTCTGCATCGGAGCCGAAATCCCCAAAGAAGAAGGGCGCTTCAAAAGCTGAATGAAAATCCGTAGTTAGATTTTGTTCCCGTGTAACTGAATGAACGATCGATTGTAGTAGTTAAAATTGTCAGCCATGGCAGTGAAAATTGCTGTAGCACTAGTTGTTAGGTCATATAGATCAATTAGTTACTCTCTTCTTGTATGTTAAAGTTCATAATCGGAAAATCATCCCTTTGTTGAGTCCTCTTCTTGTTCATTCTGAATTGCGTTTCATCGTGGGCTGAAAAAGATGGCCTGATGCTTAATCCCGTGGGCCACGCAAGGGGCCCAAAATGCAAAAAAGTGTTGTGTTGTCTCCCAATTCCGAAGCTTCTCGAGGTTCTTTCCGCGCGCGGTGAGAGATTAATCGGCGGCAGAATGAATTCACTTCTGGTAAGTGGGAAGAAGCAGTAGCCATGGTTCTGCTTCAGTTCAGGAGATTAGCCCCGCGCTACTTTTGATTTCAAGCTTCTTTTCCGGTTTCTCTTCCCTTTCGGTTAAGCTTTGCATGTGACAAGATTGCTTGCTCTCTGTTGTATTTTGCTTCATTCGGCAGAGAAAAGCTACCGGAGATGCTTTCCGCCGGATCGCCGCCTTAGCTGCTGGCGCCGGCAGCGGGACGGCTCTCCTTTACGCGGATGCGAAGTCCGATTACAGTAAGCTCTTCGAAAGTTTGCTCCTTTTGATCACTTGACTTCTGGGGTGGAAATAGAATGCGCATTTGAGTGAACTGATTGATATTTTCAGGTGCGAGGGTATCACTTTCGATACCCGAGGAATGGTGGCAATCGCAATCTGTTCTGTGCCCGGTTTCTTCTTCCGTTTCAGCAGAGTACGGGGAATTTGGTTGGTATTCATTCTTTCTTGGAGGCTTTCATTTTTGTTTCAACCCCATTATTTCCGTTTTGAAGTGTGTTGTGTTGTGATTGGTGTGGTAGGAAATCTTCTATTGTTTTCTTCTAGAATTGGTCCGGTGCCTTCGGCTGGCGCTGATAATGGAGGTAGTGGAGATGTTGGAGATAAACACAAACCAAATTGCGGATGCTTGGGGAGGGATACTATTGCCAATGCAGCTGCTAGGGTTGCTCCAGCTGTTGTCAATCTTTCTGTTCCACATGGTACTTCTAGAAAATCTTAGGATTATCTTATCTCATTGAATGCTGATGAGGATAACTGGAGCTTATGGACGAGAATTCACAAGGGGATTTGGCTCTCATTTTGTAGGGTTATATGGGTATCCTGCTGGAAAGAGTATTGGGTCTGGAACTATTATCGACGCTAATGGTACAATCTTAACGTGTGCTCATGTGGTGGTTGATTATCGGGGCATGAGACCTTTGTCTAAGGGAAAGGTGAGTCAATTCATATGATTGCACAGCAAGGGATGAACCATGATGTCTACCATGACCACTGAGACTTACGAGTCTATTAGATGGGCAACTGGCATGCCGTGTTTACTGACGCTTGATTCACCTATTTGTTGTTTATCTATTGTGTTTGGGGGAAAATCATGAACTTTAAACAATTGTATATCTTTTCTTTGTGTGTTGATGTGCTCCATTGACTGTCCGATTTGATGTTTCACTGTCCGCTGGGTTATTTTAGGTTGATGTGACTTTGCAAGATGGCAGAACATTCGAAGGCACAGTTCTGAATGCAGATTTACATTCTGATATTGCCATTGTGAAGATAGATTCCAAAACTCCATTACCAGTAGCAAAACTTGGTTCTTCATGTAAGCTTCGACCTGGGGAATGGGTGTTGGCTACGGGCTGCCCGCTCTCTTTACAAAATACTGTTACAGTTGGTATTATAAGGTAGACAACGGCAACTGAAAGATCGGCAGATTTATGGTTGAGTAGCGTTAGATTGCTGAATGGCTTCCCACTTTACAACAATGAACCATGTATAATGCTATTTACCCTTTTGTTCTAGTTGTGTTGATCGTAAAAGCAGTGACCTGGGTCTTGGAGGAGTTCGACGTGAGTATCTACAGACAGACTGTGCAATCAATGCGGTAGATTTCTTATTAACCATCTCTTCCTTGGGTAGAAGTTAGTAAGCAAATTTTTTTTCTGGTAATGTTAGTAACCAAGATTTTGACCATGTGATTCGTCAATTTGCTAATGTGCAGGGAAATTCTGGTGGACCGCTTGTTAACATTGATGGAGAAGTCGTCGGAGTCAATATCATGAAAGTATTGGCTGCAGATGGACTGAGTTTTGCCGTTCCAATTGATTCGGTTGCAAAAATTATAGAGCATTTAAGAAAGAGTGGGTGTGTACTCAGTTCTCCTTGCTTTCAAGTTTAACTTCCAACTTCTGTGATGACACATGAATCCTTTTCAATCTCCTTGATTTAATAGTTACGCTTTTGCAGAAGAGTCGTCCGGCCTTGGATTGGTTTGAAAATGATTGAACTCAATGACATGATCATCGCTCAACTGAAAGAAAGGGATGAGATGTTCCCTGATGTGGACAGTGGCATTTTTGTACCTATGGTATGCTCTGGAACTTCAATGTACGACTGAATCGTATATAGAGCGTATTTGGACGGCGTTTTCATGAACTGAGAAGGAACGACTTAAGAATGCAGTCAAATGCACATATGTTCGAAGTCATGTTTATTTAAACAATAGTATTATCTCTACTTAAGATTCATGGTGTATCACCAGTGGAGTTCCATTTCAGGTTACGCCGGGATCCCCTGCACACCGTGCCGGATTTCAACCTGGCGATGTTCTGATCCAATTCGACGGAAGACCCGTTGGGAGTGTCAAGGAGGTAAACAAAAAAAGATGCTCTGTGGTGCAAATTGCAAGTGTTTCTTGTTGCTCTTGCCCTTTAGTAGCATTGACTGTTGGTTTACTACGTAACAGGTGATCGACATCATGGATGATAGAGTCGGCGTACCCTTAAAAGCTATAGTAAAGAGGTTGAAAGACATGACCGTAACCTTGACTGTCATCCCAGAAGAAGCAAATCCACAGATCTGAATGCTAAGTTTGGCACCATCTCTTTGTAACCAATTGGGAATTGAGTTTGTCGAGGATTACCAATTGGTATGACGATGGTGCAAGGGATGTCGGGTACTCCAATAACCATTCACACACGGCATTGCATAGATTACGTCGGATAGTATGGCTCAAGGGCTGCTAGATAGGATGAGTTTAGAACAGAGAGGCCTGACAGCTTGTTTGAATTGATGAATTGTTTTTCTGAGTGTTTGTAATAATGGATTGTGCATTGCATTGTTTTTCGAATAGTGAATACATAAATTTGAAGAATGCAGCGTGGATGAATGCTTCTGGTTATGGATTCTGATTTCTGAGACGAAGTTTTGACTTAAGAGATCGAACTTTCACTAAATGAAAGCGATACAATGATAAAAGGTGGATTCTGGAATGCCACACCCCAAACCTACAGTTTCTAGCCTTCTAGGATGCCACCATTGTTTTATGAAAGTATCAAATACTGCCTACCTAAAACGGGTGTAGAGCTGTCAAAATCTAAGCAGATAACACAATGGTCACAAATTTACCCGACTGGTGATTCCACTCATCAATTAACTTCAACTATTTACAAGTGACGAATTATTACTCCTTTTAACTGGAGAGAAACAGAATCACAGGCATAAATAAGAATTTTATACTAACAGTAAAGAGGGGCAAAATTTTCAGCACAGTTTACTTTTCCCTTCATAACTACATTGTCTTGGTGAAAGTTTCTCCTGGCTTCAAGAAATTGTCGGCACTAAGATAATTGTGGTGTTCCAACTGCGTCATCTCTCCCCCTTTGGCAGGATCAAACTCGCACTTGTAAAAGCTGCAACCAAAACAACAACCAAAAGTGCTCTATCACAACTAGAACTCAATGCACAGCCGGCGCTTATTAGAAAAGACTGTTGTGCTTATAGCTGCAAGTGGACTGAGACCTAGAGCTTTGGTGACTAGTGATTACCTTCCATTCAGTCCGATGACGATAACCGTGTTCTTTTGCTGGCCAAATCCAACAAGGTACTGCGAGCCTTCTGGCAATCGGAACTGAGCCACAGACCACTCTGAGCTGAAATACTTTGGCAACACACCTGCAGATTACAAACCCATATGGTTATACGTCAAACATTGAGAGAAAATGGATTATTCGCCAGATGAACAACTTCTATCATCCTAAAGCATTATCACTACTCACTACCCACCCATCTGATGATAAAAGGTGAAAGGTTATATAAATCCTAATGAGCTAACATTGACGATTCATTTTAGCCCAATGCTCGGTTCAACCAATCTCATCATTAGACCCAATTAGCACCCGCATTACACGTGACCATCCTAATTCATTTCTTCTTCCAGCTAATTTGAGGGCTACATATTTCTGCCTCTAATTATCTATTAGTTCGGATGAATCGACACGCTAACATGGACAATTTGGGAAGAACTAACTTACAGTGATGAACTTAGTGACTGCTAAATTAAATATTCTGAATTATTAAGTTGTGTCACTGATTTGATAGTAACCCAAACTTTATGACCATGTATGTGACCGAAGCTCGTGAAATCCCAACAGCACATGACACAAGAACAGGGCTCTTACCTTTCAAGATGGAAAGAGATGAAATGCCCAAACCATTGGAAGGATTCTGAGCAGCCACCACTTGTGATCGATCATTTGTCAGTGTTGCCAATGACCCTGAATCGACCTTGAGGCTGAAGACATGGATGGTTCCCTTGTCACTAGAGACCGCTAGCCAATGAGCATCCGAGGAGAATGCAAGGCTGTAGATTTCTGCTCTGTCTGCGCCTCGCCTAACCTGAGATCCAGCAACATCTCCCATTAAAACAAGCAAGAACCAACGTCTATAGCTTAGGAATAAGTAGAACTATACCACCAATTCACAAGCAAGGTTCTGCGCCAGTATTAAGTTCTAAACACCAGAAGAACTTGATCAGAGTGCCTGTGACGTACTAATTAATAATTTATATCAGCCATGAATATCTAAAATTCATCTACGTCAAGAAGACTAGATCATCAACTTACAAGCACACGTTGGTCCATTATTATGTTCCTAAATACCAGAACAATAGAACTAATGGACAATCGGCCATGTCATATCTAACATTCATCGACACCCTTCCTTAATCCTTACCAATTCAGCTGACCAGTTCAAAGCATTTGGCAAGCACATTCTCCAGGCAGTGAGTTCAATCCAGGTATTTCACTACATGGCTTGTATCAGTATTGTGAAAATGCAAGACCACAACTCACAAGCACGCTTGCTTGCCTCAGTATCAAGTTCCAAATACCAGAAGAATTGAAAAAACTCTTTTTTTTCCCGGTAACAGGCAGACACAAACAGCGTCCAAAGCTTAAATTAATATCGGTAATAAACATAATATCATAGTTAAGCCAATATCTAAACTCCGTGTTGCACTCATCGAATAGATGTGTGCCAAAAGGAACAGAGTGACCCCTCCTAGCAAGAAAATCGGCAACAAAATTACGTTCTATCAGAATGCTTGTGATATACTAATTAACCATGAAGCAATTGCATATAAAAAATTCACCCAAAATCCACACCAATAAATATTAAATACAAATGTAGTTGAAGCCATACGCCACCACATCAATTGAGCACTGAATTTAATCTGGGTTTCTAACAACAATGCTTGTATCAATATCTAGGAAATCGGTCATGAGGAATCTGAAATTCAATAGCGGCAGTCTCAGTCCAGCTAACCAGTTCATAGCATAAGCTAAACTGAAATGAATCCGGGGTTCATTCCACTAAATTATCTCTATTATCAGCACCCATGACAAAAATAAATAAAAGGGGTGAGCTTTCTTACCTCCTGAAGCAAGGAACCATCCAAGGCATTGAAAACTCGAACCAAAGTGCCTTTAGTGCTCGCAGTGGCTAGCAACCTCCCATCTTGGGTCATGCTCATACAAGCTAGCCTGGAATCATGTGCCATCACGAATTTGGTCCTCTTCGAACCATAATTCTCTATCCTAATTTGCCCCTTCTGCAAGCCAGGGCACGCCAGGACCATCGGCGACGAAGTATGCGAAACCTCACAAATCCCCTTACTGTTCAAAGCCGTCTCAATCTGATGCACGAGCCTCAAATCCACGAAATTGTAGACGAAAATCTTCTGAGCCAGGACGACAATGATCTTGTCGCGCCGAATTCTCACGTTCCTCACTTCGGAGCGGAAGGAGAGCTCGCCGAAGCACCGCGATAGGTGGTCGTCCCAGATCATGACCTTGTTCGCCGGGTAGAGCGGCTCGGTCCCGCCGCCGACGAAGCAGAGCACGTTGCATCGGAAGAGCATGGCTACGAGCCCGATTCCGCCGCGCGAGGAGGAGGAAGAGGGGGAAGAAGTAGAATCCATGTCGCGGCGGAACAGGGCCTTGAACGGGTCGGCGTTGTAGATCCGGAACCCGTTGTCGAGGCCCGCGACGAAGCATCCGTAGTCCTGGTTGAAGGAGAGGTGGTAAACGGAAGGGACCTCGGCGACGGGGGCGGGGTCTTCGAGGGGTGTGAGGAAACCGGCAGCGGCGGAGGAGAAAGAATCGTCGGAGACGGAATCGGAGTCGGGCGGGATGGAGTAGAGGCTGGCTGAGGAGGAGGAAGCGGAGGAGCAGGCGGAGAAGGTGATAGGGGAAGGGCTGGCCATGAAAAAATGGCCGAGTGGTGGTGAATTAGGGTTAGGGTACGGCGGCGACGGTAGTGGCGGCGGTTGTCATCAGGGAAAGGAGTCGGAGAGAATTTTTTTTTTATTTTTTTTTAGGAGGGAGTGAAGTGAAGGGAATACGCGAGGGGAACTTTATGCAAGCGAGGGACACGTGGCAGCTACGGATCGTTAATGGTTATGATTACGACCCGCGGAGCGATGCGAAGAGCATATCCTAATCGGATTTGGTTTTGTTTCTGATCTTCTTTCGGGTAAATTACAAAAATGGTAACTGAATTTTGGAGCCACTCAATAGTGTGATTTATCAACAAAATCTACCAATACCGTAAAAAACAAAACAAAATTTACCACCAAAATTTAGAATATATCGACCTCAATAGTTACAATGCCATGAGGTTAGATGTTCATCAAAATTAATTTGAGTTACTTTACGAGAATGCTAGAGTTCAGTCTATACTCGAATCAAACTCATTATCCTATCCAATTTCATCCCAGATGATCCGAAAATCATCGTAACTTTATCCCCTTGTAAAGCTGCTGCGACAGTGAAGGTTTGGGAGTTGCAGATCGCAGGTTCGAATCCAAGCAAGGTCCGTTGGTGTTCCCGAAGGTACAAGGCTATTGGGGGCAAAGCCCCGTTGGCATCGAAATTGATTGCAGGTGGCCCCCAGGTTTAGTAGGACCCCTTGTCATCGGGTTCGGGTGCATCGGGTTCGGGTTCAAACGGGTTGCGGGTTAGTCGGGTTGCGGGTTCATCGGGTTCGGATTCAATCGGGTTGCGGGCAAATCGGGTTGCGGGCTCATCGGGTTTTGGGTCGGGCGGGTTGCGGGCGGGTCGGGTTTCGGGTTGTTCGGGCCAGCGCATCAAGTAACTTAACTCATTACTCATTACCAACTTACACATTTTATTACACTAATTTAAAATATTTTCTCAACTTTTTAACCAATTTATTTCTACCTCGTATATATATACTTTATTTTTTTGAAAAAAACTAGTCAAAATGTTAAATCAATTTGTATGACTTGCAAACTTGTTATGTAATTAATCATAATTGGTAAAGTATTATAGCTAATAGTAATGGTGATATCAATATTTGCAACCAAAAGACACCGTTAATTGTTTATTTGATATTTTAGTATTAATTCAGTAGTAATTGGATTAAAGTATCTCGTTTAGTATAACCATGCAAATCTGGTATTTGGCGTGTGGTATTTGGCAAAAGCATAGTGATAAAAGGAATTATTTCAAAATAACTCATTGCCCAAATAACATAAGTAAACTGTTGCCAAACGAGTTATTTGTAAAATTGTTCGAATTATCCTAAAAATTGAACCAATAAAGATTAGCTATCGAATTTAGTAAAATTATTGTGACTTCAATCATAACTTACTCAATAGCATATATCCTATACACTTAGCTTTACCCTCAATCAACAATATTAAGTTAGTATATGTTGTTGATTGTATACCCTAAACCATCAATACATTATACACTAACCACATAACCTATACCCTAATCATATGTCCTTGAGTTGTGATTTTGCTAGTATAGTAAATTTAAAAGTGAAATTCATACTTTGATTTTCAAAACATAGATAAAAAGTGATATTATTTGCTAATTGTTATACCCTAACCATATATCCTATACTTTACACCACATACCTTATACCCTAACCACGTACCATAAACATATAAATTAAAAAGGGATCTCCTGCCGTTAAAGACTTCAAATGACTTCAAGTGAACATATGTTAATAAAAAACTTAGAAACGTCAAAACCATCAATATCTTATACCCTAACCATATACACCCTAAACCATATGTACCTTATACCTTATACCCTAACCATATACTTTATATCCTAAACAACGAACCGTCAAAGATTACTTATAAAGTTTAGTATAAATTGTTGTAACTAATGGTTAATTTATTTATTAGCCCATAAAAAATTACATACATATATACATATTAGCCTTCAAAACATATAAGAATAATTTTAACTAGTCATGCCCTCCATATAAAAGTTAAAGATTCATATTTCAAAAGCTAAAATTATGAAAAACCAAAAAATTGAAAACACTAAATTTGTTTCCTTCTTTCTTTTCACAAAAATACTAAAATTTCCCTCCTTCTTTTTCCTTCCATACATTAGAAAAACTCAATTTTCCCTCCTCTTTCTCTTCAATAAAATTGAAAGAAACAAATTACCCTCTTCTTTCCTTCTACAAAAAGTTGAAAAGTCAAAAGTTTTCCTCCTTATTTCTCTTTCATAATCAAAAGAATCAAACTTTCCCACTTTTTTCTCTTCCCACATATCAAAACCACCAAAATTCATACTTGTTTCTTTTCTAAAAAAATTCAAAGAACCAAATTTCCCTCTTCTTTCTCTTCCCAAAAACTTGAATACACCAAAATTTCCCTCTTCTTTTAAAAACATCAAATTACCAAATACATTACTTTACTTTATTTATATTTAATTGATAATTTTATTGAATAGTTAAATTAACCAAAATTTTAATTTATATATTATATTAATATAGTCATGATCTCAAGTGACCTTCATGTTTCAATTTTTGTAATTTTCTTAAAATACGTAATATCAAGTGAGTTTCATATTTTTAAAATTTCTTATACGAAATGAAAAAAATAATTTTACTTAAGTTTAGAATGAAAAACTTTATTTTGAAAAACTATGTATTGTATATTTTTATAATTATTCAAGTGACCTTCATATAGTCATGATCTCAAGTTGGGTTGCGGGTCAATCAGGTTGCGGGTCGGGCGGGTTACAGGTTGTTGACTTTTAGTCAATTCGGATTGCGGTCGGGTTGCGGGTCGGGTTGATCGGACGGGTTAATCGGGTCGGGCTATGTTTTGACAGGAAGCAAGGACAAGCATCCAAATTTCAAATGTAATATTATAATTATTATTTACTCGATATATGTAAGGTAATCTAAACAAAGAAAACCCTCCAATAACAGCACTCCTCCCTTTCATCTCTAACTACATGATGATCTGTTGATGACAATTGGACAGCAAAGCATTTTTTTCCAGAAGATTAATTAAGTTGGGACAGGTAACCCGCTTGGGCCGGCGCCGTGTATGGATACGGGTACCCGCCCTGCTGTTGCTGGTATGGCGGGTAAACCGAGTTGTCGCTCGCCCCGACTTCGAGATTCGGCGGGTAAGCCATCATAGGCTGGTTCAAATCCGGCTTCTGAGCGGCAGCCGGAGTGGAGAATATCTCCCTGGACTCGCCAAGGCTGTGGTTAGAGAAGATCTCGAACTTGATGGTGAGGCGGCCAGTTCTGGCTCGTCGACGGTGAAGCTAGCTAGCTGACGCGGTGGTTCCTCCTAGGGTTGTCGACAGGGGTGTTGTGCTTCTGCTTGGAGTTGTGCGGGTCGCCTTTGATGGAGGCGACGACGTAGATGCATGTCCATCTTGGAGAGGAGAGGAGGTTGACGTCCTTGAGTTGAGATCCTTCGCCGACTATCGGCCTACACTCCATGATCGCAATTCCTTTTTCACCAAGGGAAAGAACGATTCAGAAATCTAGGGTTTGGGATTGAGAATTTGGCGACGAAATTGAGAGTGAGAATTGTTGTTTCTATGCTGTTTGGCATTGGCGGTGGAGGAAGGCGGAGAGGGATTTATATAGGGAAAGGGAGGGGCGGCGGAGGTTCAGAGTACGGGGAGGGAAGGTCAACGACAACGAGAAGAGAAAAGGTGGGGAGGGGAGTTTTCTATAATTTGAGTGTTTCTTTTTCGCTTTATTTATTTTGCCCATCGGTGTTTCTTTTGCTTGGTTTTTACGGAATATTAACAAAAATAATATCTAATCCGTAGAGTACATAACTCTAGAGTGCATAACTATAAGTGATTAAATTTGGACCCTTCTTTTGGCTCAAGATAGGGTGCATAACCATGGGTTATGCACCCATCAATAACCAAATATGGACCCTTTATTTAGAAAATTCAAATATAAGGAAGGATAATTAAAGATCATTTTTACCTTTTCTAGCTTTCTTAATTGACTCATATCTTTTTCGTTTTAACTCGGATTTTTTTTTTTTGCACAGATGGAACGAGTTCATCGTGCTATACAAAATGAGATCAATTTTCAATATTTTTTGAGAAAAAAAATTCTGGCCTCTCGGTACCAACTGCATACCATATGGTATCTTCTTCGTTTTTAATTCGTTTTTGAAAAAGTTTGCACAGAAGGGACGAGTTCATCATGATCTATTGGATCTACAAATTTCTGAGTGAACAAATTACAGGACCAAAAAATACCACACAATACCATACAATACCACCCTGGTACGAGCTGGTATTGTATGGTATCTTTTTCGTTTTTAATTCGTTTTTGAAAATGTTTGCACAGAAGAGGCGAGTTCATCATGATCTATTGGATCTACAAATTTCTGGGTGAACAAATTACAGGACCAAAAAAATACCACACAATACCATACAATGTTAAAAGTCGTAAATGACAATTAATATACTTCTACTATCATGTATTCAATCATCCTACAGTCTTGGTTTGTTCATACCACCATGCTACGTTTTTCAAACCATAGGTATGCTTTTATTTCAATACCAGTCAATACCATATAGTATAGACTGGTAAAAAAGGCCCCAATTTTTTTTGTTCGAAAAATATATTAAAGTGGATATCATTTTGAAGAGCACAATTAATCTGATCTAACTGTGCAAAAAAAATTAAACTTCGACTTAAAATGAGTGAGAAATCGTCCGTCAAATATTAAAGAGGGGAAAATTAAAGGCTTTCCAGGAGAGAGAGAATGTTGATGTCATGCTAATGTGGGCAGGTTACTCATGGTTACTCACCATAAGGTTACTGACCTGATCCATTCCCTTTCTTTTAAGTGGCTGCAGATTTAAAGGTGGAGAACTAAAGGAATTTATTTTTCTTAGTTTTATTGATTGGATCATATCTTCTTCATTCTAACTCGGATTTCAATTTTTTTGTGCACAGATGGAACGAGTTCGTTGTGCTCTACAAAATGATATCCATTTTCAATATTTTTTGAGAACTTTTTTTCCACACCTCTCGTTACCAACTGCATATCATATGGTATCTCCTTCGTTTTTTAGTCGTTTTCAGAAATTTTTGCACAAACGGAACGATTTAATCATGATCTATTGGATTTCAAAAATTTATGGATGAAAAAATTTCATACCACTTGTTACCAACTCCATACCATACTATACCATCCTGGTATGGGGTGGTATTTTTCATACCATATGGTATGCTCTTATTTAATACTAGTTAATACCATATGATATAGACTCGTAATAACTAGCAAAATTTTTTTGTTCCAAAAATTATCAAAGTGGATATAATTTTGAAAAGCACAATTAATCTGATCTAACTGTGCAAAAAAATTTAATTTCCGACTTAAAACGAGTGAGAAATCATCCGTTAAAGATTAAAAAAGGAAAATTAAAGCTTTTTTGAGAAGAGAGAATGAGGCGCTGATTTGACGGACTCTTATTGAGTTATGCATGAGGTTATTGCACCACAAGATTACTGACTGGATCTACTCCTCTAATGCGTTTCATCTTATCCATAAATAAATGACCAACAACTACAGAAAATAGGGAAATCGGTTAGGGTTTGCAGTTTTTTGTTCTCCTGGGTTAAAAGGGGGAAAGGTTTTAATTTGGGGGTTTGGGTTTGTTGTGTGAGAAATGAATAGGACAATCAGCTAATGTATGTGATAGAAATTTGATGAATTTGTTTAGAAATGTTTAAGCTAATTTACTATTGGTGCAATAATTGATAAATAAAATTTTAATTGAGTGTTTCAATCAAGATTACTATTAAAATGCAAGTTTTATAATTGAAAGTCAAGAAAATTGATGTTCTCTATCCAAATTAATTATTTGACTCGACTTCACAATACTGTACACCATTATACACCGATGTTTGGTTTTGAATTTCCAATTCTATATGAACACTTTTGGTCCTTGAGTGTAAAATGAATGTATCGTACAAGAACCAAAGAGTTTCAATGATTTCATGCACGATCAAAATGAAATTGAAATTAATTTATATCTATTTTCATTATCTTTGTAACTTCTTCCTGAAAATTACCTTTGTAAGTTTTGTGAAAGCAAGTACAACACATTTTAAATTAACCAAAATACTAAAAATAAATTAACTTTCTATATAGAGGATAAAATGATAATAGAGGTTGGAGGTTCCAAATATCTATGGGAAGTCATCTCTTCCTTACTATTCTAGGAGCATGTAGAAGCAAAGTGCGGCACAAACGGGAAGGCAGGGAAGAAATATTAAACAAAATGTTGCGTTTCTTTTTTTCCTTGTTATCAGATATCAATGAACAAAAAGAGTAGAATATTCTAGGGAGAGTTTGGAAATTGGAATATTATATGATGAGACAAAAAATAAAGAAAATAAAAGGGCTAATATTTTCGTATGGCCTGAACTTTGACCAAAATAAACATCCTGGCCAATCTTTTCGATCTATAACATCTTGGCCCGAACTATACACCAAAATAAACAATTTGGCCAAATCCGATGTTTGACCGTTAACTTGGATGGTCAAACGCGTTGACTAACGGTCAATGCGCCACGTCACTGCCAAGTCAGAAGATCTGATAAATATTTAATTTTTTCGTTTTTTATTTTTAGTTTAACTAAGGTATTAGATGATTTTTTTAATTTATAATAATTTAAAATTAGGGAATGTGTGGAAATTGTGAATTATTTTAAATATTTTATGCTGACTTGGCAGTGACATGGCGCGTTGACTAACGGTCAACGCATTTGACCGTCCAAGTTAACGGTCAAAAGTCGGATCTGGCCAAATTGTTTATTTTGGTGTATAGTTCGGGCCAGGATGTTATTGATCGAAAAGATTGGTCAGGATATTTATTTTGGTCAAAGTTCAGGCCATACGAAAATATTAACCCAAAATAAAAAGCAGTTTGAGAAAATGAACGGGAGCCGTGTGTAGTGCACGTATCTCGTGCCATTTTTACCCTTTCCCTGCCACTAAACGCGATGGACTGCCTCTTTCTCTCAATTCTATTAGCGGGCCGATCCGTTTTCCTTTCTGCCTAAGGGTTCGACATACAGCCTCTCCCACCACGCGCACAAACAAAACGCGTACACTGAACACTCGTTACCAAATGAGCTCTGGAGTCCAACGAGCAAATAATTTACACTGTACAAAATCTGGAAGGACTGGCTGTTTCAGAGCTAACGTTCCAAAACAACACAACAACTTCCAAGCATTTGCATCTCGTAGAACAATAAAGACTGTAAAAGTACCTGGTCACTTGCTTTGGAGCATAACGGGTTCAACCGATAAAGCGTCAGTTCCTGTTAGGAAACATAACTGAGATTAGTAAGATGGTGCATGGTGTAACAAAAACGCAATATATCAACTGCATCCCCCTAGTTCGACACAGAAGCAGCTGTTATAAAACGCACTGCTACGCGGATCGGGAAATTGCTGGAATCGACAAAGCAAGAATACGAAAGCGAGAATCGAAAACACGACACACGATTTACGTGGTTCATTAACACGATGTGTATTAGCTAGTCCACGGGCGAGAGAGAGTCAGTTTCACTATATCGAGGAGATTACAGAGGAGTATGATAAGTATTTATAGTACTTCTCCATGTGGGTCTAAACCTAATCCAATCTGGCAAAGGAAACGGTTACAGACCAGGCCCAGAACCCGAACCCAAATAACATTGAGCCCATACACCGCGGGCCGAGGGCATTGCCCCCGCACCCCGACTAATCCAGTCGTAGCGGCTGATAGTCCGATTCAAGTCACATCAACAGCAGCCAAGTTGGCATAATTGGAAAACCTCACACTGCGTTCAAGTTCAGCATGGGTGTGCGAATAAGGAACATAACCACTAGTGTTCTTGTGTAAAAGCAGACAACCTGAATGGAAACTCCAAGATGCTGGTGGCTTTGCTTCCAAATGCCTGATATATCAGGATGATTTCCAACACAACTAGCAAAGTAGGCTGGAAAATGAACAAGATGTTCTTGCTACTGCCATTGGATTGATGATTGTCATCCAAGAGATTTTTCACTAGTAATCCGAACAAGAGCACGAGCCATCTTTGAAATGGTGGAAGCGTAGCTTATCACGAACAACTATATTCCTTCCAGTAATAACGTAGATGTATTTGATTGCCGAATGGCTTTCCTCCCACATTCTGATGTTCTTGACTAACCTGATGGTGGATCCAGGGGCAGTTTTCAGCAAACCGAAAGCAATTGCAAGCTTCTCGCTTTCGTACCTAAGTGCATATTCCCTCTCTTCCTCTTCTACTTCATGCATCACCAATTCCATTACAAATATGTAGCCTGCTTCTGCACATTTCGATATCAGTTCATCTAAATAATTGAAAATGGCATTCGACTCGAGATGAGACTTGTCCCCCATGCTAAACAAGTACGATCTACCATCAATCTCTATGATGCTATACCCGACTATCTTTCGTAACGATTTGTTGATAATTTTATCTCTAATCATTTCCACCCGGTCCATTCTTCTCGCTGAAGCATATATGTTGGAGAGCATGACATAGTGACCATGGTTTTCCGGTTCGATTGCTAAAAGGTGCTCGGCGACTTCTGCTCCGAGATCGAAATCCTTATGCATCTTGCAAACCCCAAGCATTGCAGTCCAAATTGGAGGAGCAGGGTATGGTGGAACTGATTCCTGAACGAACTTATATGCTTCGCTAAGAAGTCCAGCACGCCCTAGAAGATCAACCATACAAACATGATGTTCCACTCCTGGAATTAAGGAATGTTCTTCTTTCATACTGGCAAATAACTGACATCCTTCATCCACTAACCTTGCAAGAGTGCAACCTGATAAAACAACAACAAAGGTGACACTATTAGGTGAACCGCAACTCATCTTCATTTCATAAAAAAACCTCAGTGCTTCCAGGCCATAACCGTTGGCTCCATAACCTGAAATCATAGCTGTCTAAGCAACTAAATTCTTCTCCCTCCTCGAATAAAAAACTTCTCTTCCTTTCTTCAAATCTCCACACCTGACATGCATATGGATCAAAGCAGTCCCAAGCACCACAGTCACAACCAAACCCTTTTTGACCACATAGTCGTGTACCCAACGACCCAGCCCTAGGCCCCCTAACTGCGCACAAGCTGCTAACACAACCACATATCTAGTAGCATCCGGCGCAACAGAACCCGTTTCCCTCATCCTATCAAACAAATCAATTGACTCTTTTGCAAGCCCATGTTGCTCATACCCTGAGATCAAAGAATTCCAAGCCACAACACTTCTCTCTGGCATATTCTCAAACACCTTGCCCGCATCACCCAACTGCTCGACCTTGGTGTAGAAAGCCACCAGCGCAGATTGTACATACACATATGTTCCGTACCCATTAACCAAAACATGTCCATGAACTATCCTACCGTGCTTTCGACTTAACAAACTTGTGCAAGATTTGATAACATAAGTGAAAGTATAATTCGAGGACTCAATGTTAAACATGATCATGCACGAATAGTAATACAGGGCATGTGCAGATAAACGTTGGGACCTGGAGGTTGATCTGATGAGAGTGTTGAAGAGGAATGCGTCCGGATTTGGGACGGAGATGAGTATCTTGTGAGTATAGGAAACGGAGCAGCTGACATTGCAAGCCAGAGTTAGGAGCTTGGTGAGGAGGGAGCGGCTGTTACTAGATCCTAATGCGATTATGTAGGCGTGAACTTGCTGGAGTGGTTTCAGTCGCGGCCCAGCTCGAAGGAGGGAAGTGTAGGTTGTAGACCTTTGGACATGAACTCCCGCCGTCATCAGAAGCTTACCGTGAGATTGAGGTTCCATGAAGGCGCGCTTTCCGCAAACCGCAAAAGAAGTGAGCCGAAAAATGGAACAACAACTCGATTTTTTATGAAAATTGAAAACGGAGTTCGCTTCGACGATGAGATTCTGACTTTACTTCAGGTCAATTACATAGTTGGTCCCTAGATATTTTTGGTTATTAACACATCATGCAAGAACTTTACCTCTTCACTTATAGAACATGTGGCCCACAGACCAGTTTTGTAACTATATGCAGGACTGCAGGTGGGGCAGATCAAGGATATTAAATTCACTGATTTCATTTGTTAAGATTAATTTGTGTTATGATAACTATGACCGTTGACCAGAATGACAAAGTTGATATTTTCTAGCAGATCCTCTTTTTTAGGAGTACATCCAAATACTTATATATTCAATATTTGTTGTAAGTTGAAGTGATCCATACAGAAGGACCAAAATACACATATTTTTAAAAAAATTCTGAAAATGCACACGTTTTATGAAAAATTCCCAAAATACAAATGTTTGGGCATCACTGCAGTCGCTAACCGCAATTAATGCATTCACCGCGGCAAGCGAAAACGGTGAATGCATCACCGCAGTTAACGACCGCGATGAATGCCTGACCTAACACTGAAACTTCAAACGAACATAACTTTGTGGAGGAAAGACATCCAAGTTATGTTCGTTTGAAGTTTCAGTCTGCAACAAACCTTTATCCCAAAAAAATATTGTTTGCTACCCCAAACGAGCAATTTTTCGATTTCGACAAACTTTGGAAGACCATAACTTTGTGCTCCACAATCCGAATGTCATGAAACATTTTTTTGAATTCACATAACTGTTGAAGAACTACAACTTTGATCATAACCATAATTTTGAAATGTATGTGGATTTGTGAAAAGTAAAGTCAAAGTTATTCCCAAAATGCCGTATACCCATGAATATTTAAAAAAAAAAATATTTCCTAGTAAAAATTGTAGTTCTTAAGAAGTTATGAGCAATAATTTTTTTATGACGTTCAGATTGAGGAGCAAAAAGTTATGGCCTTCCAAAGTTTGGAAAAAATGAAAAATTGCTCGTTCGGGGTACCAAAAGACATTTTTTGGGATGAATGCTTGTTATACAATGAAAGACCTTGAAAAGTTATGCGGAATCAAATTTTTTTCACTACAATCCGATAATCGAGCGCAAAGTTACGTTTGTTTGAAGTTTCAGTGTTAAGTCAAGCATTCACCGCGGCAGTCAACCGTAGTGATGCATTCACCACTTTCGTCTGCCGCGGTGAATGCATTCACTGCGGTTGACGACCGCAGTGATGCCCAAACATGTGTATCTTGGGAATTTTTCTTAAAACGTGTGTATTTTGGGATTTTTTTAAAACATGTGTATTTTGGGATTTTTTCCTACAGAAGAAAGGGTATATGGTATCAATTTGTACTCAATGCCCAACGAGCCTAGAAAATATCACATTAAACTAGCAATCATTCAAGCCACCCAATCAAGACATATATCAACCTCTTACCTTATAGAGCAAATCAGAAACTCCCCCTAACAACCAACATAAAAAAATGTAAACAAAACATAAAACTACATCTTGCCAATGATGACAAACCCTAAGCAAGGACCGTCCAACCGATCTTCCGATTCGCTCCGGAACAAGCCCTCTATCTTCAAAGTGGATGATAGGGCATGTAGCCGAGCACCTCAGAAACGCCAAGCACCACATCATTGCACCTCGTTAGAAGGCTCAACATCTACTGCGATACATCCACACTCTGACGCGACGACCACGGTGGCAGCAACAACCCAACACCCTCCACCACCACATTATTGGCATTCAACATGTTGTGCAATACATCTCTATTCTGACGCGGCGGCGGCGGAAACCCAACACGCTCCGCCGTATTATTGGCATTGTGACAATGCAAGTTCCTGTCAACTACTATTGCTTCACTCCCTTGCAAATTGCCACTACTACTGTTACTAGAGCTAGTGCTAATGGAAGGATCTTTCGCAAATTGAGGTGGGAGAGGAAGTAAAGGAGGCGATGTAGATGGAGGAAGAACAACACCCTTTTGAAAGCTCTTACTATTAATATCCATAGCAACACTAGTAGTATCAGTGACAACATTTGGTGCACCACCAGCACCATCAACAAAACTAGCATGGTTGTTGTTGAAGTTGTTTCTACTACTACTAACACCCATCGTCACCGGCTGTGACTCGCTCCGGCAATCGCTGTTCTCTTCTCCCCCCAACATGAACTTGACGCGCGACGTTCCTCTCCCACCACCACTACCGTCCGTGGCTTGTCCCCCTTCCTCGCCGTTGGTTTCTTCAGTATGGACTTGAGCTGCACGTTGGACTGCGGAAGAACAGGCCGGTAAAACGGTCGCTCAACGTCCTTCTCGGGTTCGGGACCACCTTCGCCCCCCAGCACATCGCGAAGGGTGTACTTGACATCGACATTCCCGAACAAGTAACTGTTTCTGTTGGCCTACTTGAGCACCGCCTCGGCATCGAGCCTGTACCAGTTAACCACCCGGCACGTCGAAGATTTCCAGAAAACACGGATCGCGGAGAGGTCTATCGTACCGAACCGGGTGAACCAAGCCTTTAGCTCGGCGGCAGACGGGAGAGACGTCCACAGAGGGAACTTCATCACCAGCATGGTCGGCTCGACATCAGGTGTTGTTGCCTTTGCTGAATTCGATTCTGGTGGTGGTCGTTGACTTTCCGAGGATCTCTACCGACTACTAACACTGCCGGTTTTCTTCTCTGCTGTAGCTGCTGACATTTACTTGATCTGGCCCAGCTTCTGCGACTTCCTTGCAGCCATTTCTCCCTGTCGATCGCTCGACAACCGTTTTCTTTGGGATTTTAATGGATCTTCAGGTCTCAACTTGACACATTGCTGAGAAGAACCATCTGCGCTGGTTGTCCCCATGAAGGATGTAGATTTTGAAGCACGAGGAGGAGTTCGGCCTTTCTTGGGGGAGTCCCTTCTCTCCTCCACCTAGGGGTGTTCAAATGGTTACCATGGTAATAACCAAACCAAATAAGTCTTAATTCTATTAACCATGGAATACAATATCATAACCAAACCGTCCAAACTAATACAACAACCAAAATAACCAAACTAAAGTTTATTCGGTTTGGTTAATTGGTTAACCAAAATAACCAATATAACACCACATTATCATAAAGTGAGAAAATTTTCAGTTAGTGCATCAATTCGCAATTTATATAATGAACAATACATAACAATCCACATAATTGTAGTTAACCCTTAACGTAAATACATGTAACAAATACAATTATCTTACATTTGACTCTTGAGTGGTTATGCAAAGTATTAAGTATGTGTATACAATATATATTATATATATGACAAATTACTTAACTGGTTAATTTGGTTTGATTGGTTAGCAGTGCCTGAAACCAAACCACCTAAACCAAACAAGCTAAATTTTTTAACCAAACCAAACCAATTATCGAAATTAACCAAACCAAATTAGCCAAATACTACTGGTTAAAATGGTTACCATGGTGACCACACCGTTTGAACACCCCTACCTCCACCCCCTTGAACAGGCGATGGAAGGCTCGATCTTGGACTGTGGAGGAGAGACAACCAAGCTTTTCTGATAGACTAGAGATCTGAATTGGAGGAAAAACTGTACAACGGCTACTGGCCGAGTGAGCTGAGTGCCATGGAAGGGGTTGACAGCCAAGGCATGCAGATCCTTTAGTAGTTGTGGAAGCTCAATCTCATCAGCATTGTTTACTCGAGAATCATCCTCGGGAGATAAACTGATATGGGCAGATTTTTTCCCTGTAGATTTTCTCATCTTTTTTTTTTTTCATCCGAGAAAGGTTTCTTGAGAGGGTCGGTGGCTGTATCTGAACCCATGTCTTTCTTCTTCTTCTTCTTCTTGTTCTTCTTTTTCTCTACAATAATAGTTTCTTCAGTGCTTCCATCTGGAAGAGGGCATTTGAGCATTTTGGCCTTCTTCTTCTTCACTTTTCCCTCGATGCTAGTCACAACAGGAGGCTTCACCTCTGTCGGAGAATCCTGGGAACTATCAACGAGGCTTGATGCTTTAGAAAACTCTTCATACTTAATTTCCAACACAACATCGGCTACTTGCTGGGAAGATGGTGATGAACCAGGAAAACCGGGCAGGCCTGCAGCAACTAGATGGTAGAATTGCATCAGGGCGCAAATATGCACTCACTTGCTTTGCAAATAAAGCTTAACAAGTATGCTTCTGAAATTCGAATGACAAATCACAATGACATTATGTACAAAGAAACTAACAATACAAATGTATAACACTTGCATTAAAAATCAATATCATCAAATCTCTCGTCTCCTCCGCCGCTGCCGCCGCAAAATCTCTCTCCACTGCCGTTGCTGCCTCTCTCTATCTCTCAATCACCGCCGCCTCTCTCTCATCCATCGTTGCCGCCGCTGCCGTTCTCCAAAAAACTTCCTTCTCCCTCCTCCACCACGTGGTTGACATCGCCTCTCTCTCCTCCCACCGTCGCTGCCGCTGCCATCTCTCTCTCCACCGACGTCGCTACCTCTCTCTTTCTCTCTCTCCTCCACCGGCGCCGGGATCTCACTCCTCCGCCATGTTTTTCTTTCTCTCTCTCTAGACATCGCAAGAAAGGGGTAAGGAGGAGACGACTGGAGAGGAAAAAAAGAAAGAAATAATAATAATAAATAAATAAACAAAAAATCGGAGTTAATGAATTTCTGATGCCAAAACTACCCTTTCCATTTAATAATAATTCATTACTTTATATGGACCATTAGATTAATCTAAAGGTTGAGGGGGGCTTAGTCAAGTTGAGACTCAACGTCTTTGTTGAGATTTGTTCCGCCATCGTTCTAAAGGAACATAACGATTCTAATACCACTTTTAACATCTCAACTATTTTCACGACCTAGATATTATCCACTTTTGATATATCCTCTCATGTATTTGCTTTTGTAGTACATCTTGGTGACTTTCCAGGAGGTCACCCATCTTTACATTATTCCATACTGAGAATGTATAAATTCAGAGTTCTTATAAGAACTCATCCAGTTCATTATAAAAATGCATTTTGTTAGTTAAAATTGAATTATTTGTTCATAAATCTCGATGTAGGATTTTTTTCAGCCACTTTTTATAACTAGTGTGATATTTTTTTTGGTGAGAAACGGAGCGTTAAGGGCGCTCCAACCTTTATTCAATGATCAAACGGGTGGTCTGAACCCCAAGAATGTCATGATACAACCAGTACGACAGCCTACTATCAGGAAAAGTAACCAAATGTCTGCCTATAGGGTATGAGTGACCGAGACCGGCCAACTAATCAGCGACTACGTTCGCCTCTCTGTAGACATGGGTAATGTGAACCTCCCAATCACGTTGTAGCCACTGCCGAATCTCGGCAATAAGGGTGTAGTGGAGATGCTTCGGCGTTGTCGATTCTATGAGAGATGCTGCCGTCGTCGAGTCAGTCTGAAGAAGAACCTTCCTAGTTCCTGCGTCCCAGGCGATCCGAAGCCCATGCACAATCCCGGCTAGTCTGCACTAGTAATGGAAACTCCGCCAAGGTTCCCTGTGTAGGCTAAGATTAGGCGACCATCTTCCCCCCGCAAGACGCGGCCTGCAGCCGTACTGCCAGTAGAGGTTATCACTGATCCATCAGTATTTAGGCACGTCCAGCCAGTAGGTGGTGGAGTCCAACCTATATCTCTTGATGTTCGGAGTCCCCCAGCTCCAAAAACGGCATTGTTCCTCTTAGTGGCTTGAAATATTTGTTTTCGCAGCTGTGCAAATTTCCCCTGGATTTGTGCATGGTATCTCAAATCTCCCTCAAATCAGTACCTATTCCGGTTATTCCACAGTAACCAACACATGGTGACGAATTAAGTGCAGTCCAGAACTCGGCTTCGCCCTGCAATATAGTGAGACATCAAATAGTCCAAGTTAGGAGTAAGAAAATCTCCATCTGGTTCATCGCTAAGTGAATCTGCGCACGTAGCCCTAGCAAACGGACAGTCTCGGAGAATGTGAAGAGTCGTCTCTGGCCCTCTTCCGCAGATTTTGCAGCTGTCGTCCGTGGTAAGGTGGCCTCTGACTCTTTTCGCGTTGGTAAGTAGCTTCTCGTGCGCCATCAACCATAGGAAGGTTCTCGTCCTCTGTAGTGCTGGGACTCTCCAAATAGAATGCCACTTAGGATGCTGCTGTGGAGTGTTTGTATCCTCCTCTCTCATGAGCTCATATCCCGACTTGAAAGTGAACCGATCGTCCGCAGCAAAACGCCAGCAGCGAACGTCATCCTCATCGCCTCTAGGAACCGGATGAAGGATAATCTGCGAAGCAACAGCAGCTGGTAAGAAATGTGAATATAAACTTGGTTCCACTCACCGTTCAAGATGAAGTCCACCACTCGCATGTCCAAGGCTTCTGCAGAACACCCAGCCCATATGCTTCGAGAGGTTCACCATCAAAAATTCACCTGTCCCGCCAGAACCTCGCCCTCTTTCCGTTCCTTATGTTCCAGATTGTCGCATCCTGTAGTTTGTGCCACACCCTTAATACACCTGCCACAAGTTCGAAATCTGCCTAATCCTTCTAGGCACAAGTCCCGCCTCAGAGCTCTTTGTGTACTTGCTCAAAACCACCTTCGCCCAAAGGTCGTTCGGCTTTGTCAGCAACCTCCAAGCAATTTTGACCATATATACTTCATTAGTGCGCGTAGCCGATCGAAGACCCAACCCGCCTTCTTCCTTCGGCTTACAAATCGTCTCCCAGTCCACCAAGTGAATCTTACGTCCCCCCTCTGTGCTACCCCATACAAAGGCTCTAATCTTCTTATCGATCAGGTCGCGAACACTGGCCGGTAAGAAAGATGTCTGCATTGTGTAGGAGGGTAGAGAAGAGAGGACTCATTGAGCAAGGGTAATTCTGGCTGCAAGGCTCATGGTGGACGTCTTCCACCCCGCCAGTCGAGAGTTAATTATATCAATGAGCTCGTTGTAGGTCGCCTTTGTCACCCGATCGTGAATCACTGGAACTCCCAGGTAGCGTCCCAGGTTAGAGGTTTGAGGAATACCCAGCTTTGCACTCAAGGCTGCTCTCTGGTTTGAACAAACATTTGGGGAGAAGAAAACCCGCAATTTGGGCTTGTTGATGCTTTGCCCTGATGCCTCCCCAAATAGCTCAAAACATTGCGTGATAGCCTGCAATTGGTTGCTCGAAGCTACTCCAAAAATTATAAGGTCATCTGCAAAAAATAGATGTGAAAGAGCTGGTCCTTTACTAGTCAACTTTATGGGCTGGCACTGGCCTGCCCTCACCGAATCATTAATTAGGTGACTTAAACGCTCCATATAGAGAGTAAAAATGTATGGAGATGGAGGACATCCCTGTCTGAGACCGCTTGAAGGGTTGAACGGGCTGGTTAGACCGTCGTTCCACTGGATCTACATAGAGGCCGTGGTGATGCAGGCCATAGTAGCCTCAGTGAAACTAGCTGGTGCGCCCACCGCCTCAAGCGTATCGCTAACGAACTCCCACCGAATGCGGTCATAAGCCTTGGCTAAATCGATCTTCAACATCATCCATCCCACCCTGCCCTTCTTGGCCCGCATCGAGTGGACCAACTTCTGGAGGATACAAATGTTGTCTGTGATATGTCTTCCAGGTACGAAGGTCGTCTGTGTCTCATGGACAAGACTCGACATAAGATTCTTCAGGCTCTCAACTAGGCATTTAGTCATAGCCTTGTAGACAACATTACACAAGCTGATTGGCGAAACTGGTCTATCATGGAGGGCACTTTGACTTTCGGGATGAGCACAAGAATGGTGGAATTGACCTTCTTGATCCTCTGAGGCTCCAACCAGCAATCTCTGATAAAATTAACCTCCGACTCCCCCACCGTCGACCAACATCGCTGAAAAAATAGGGGGTTTAGCCCGTCTTTGCACGGAGTTTTCAAACCCCCCATCCCTTTCACGGCTAGGAGGATCTCTTCCGGGTTTGGTAACAAAGCCAACCTTGCCCATCTAGCTGCGTCAAGCACCGGGAAACCCTGGGTAGTCTACGGGCCACCCCCATCTCCTCCGTATAGAGGACAAGGTAGAACGATCTAGCCATTTGTTGTAGCTCATTGGAGAGTCAACCCATTCCCCATCCTGGTTCTTTAGAGACAGGATTCTGTTTCTTTTGCGTCGCTGCATCGTGCGGGAATGAAAATAACCAGTATTCCGATCCCCCCATGCGGTCCAATCTAGCCTAGATTTTTGGCACCAAAGGAGCTCTTCCCGAAAAAGTACGAGTTCTAGCTCCTCTCTTGCATATTCCATCTGTTGAGTTAAGTTCTGCCTCCCGTCACGTAGCTCCAGCCTCTCGATTCTCCAAAACAAAGTATCCTTCCTCCTCTAGATATGTCTGGAGACATGAAAATTCCAGGACGCCGCGTCCTTGGCAAAGGCTTCCGCTGACTGGGAAAACGACTCTCCTTTCTCCCAGGCTTCTTGTAGCATGGGTTGAAAATCATCACGAATGAGCTAGGCTGCAATAAATCGAAACGGTTTCGGGCGTGCTGGTTGATTTGGCGAGTCGGTCTAGATGAGAATAGGATGGTGGTCCGATTTAATTTTGGGGAGATGCTTGACAGATGCCTCCAGGTGAGTAGTGAGCCATATATTATTCACCAGGGCTCTATCTAGTCTCTCTCTAACCCCTGTACAAAACCAAGTATACAGAGGCCCCATGAACCCGAGGTCAGCAAGCCTCGCATCATGCACACAATCCCTTTCTTGAATTCTGCTCTCGTCGAAAGCTGCACCCCCTAGATTCTCAGACGGGTGGAGGATGGAGTTGAAATCTCCAGTAATCATCCACGGTTGGTCCAGATCCACGGCCAGGGCTCGGAGGTTATTCCACAACGTATGTCTCGGCATAGGAGTTGGGTTGGCATAGACTTCCGTCAACTGCCCCGACACACTCGGACTTGCGACCTGCGTATGAATGAACTGGGAATTAGCGTCAATATGGGTAATAGTGAGGTCGGTGGAATTTCTTAGTATCCAAATGCCCCTAGAGAATCCTACCGCCTCAACTACTAACTTTTTATCAAAACCCATATCATTAATAACATCTTTCGCAGTGTCCCCACTAATACGTGGCTCCACAATAATCACAATAT